CCCGGCCGGCCGCCCCCCCCCCCCCCCCCCCAACCTCCGCGCTCCCTCCATCCATTCACCCATCCCTCCGCGGCCGCGCACGCCCCCGCACTCCTCTCCGCGCAAAACGCCTGGCTTTCCCCGGCGGCTGCTCACGATCTGCCTCAACCTGCTCCTCCTTTTGTTTTTGATCTCTGGAAACGAAAAATTCTCCCTCCCGTCGTCCGTCTCCTTTCCCGCCTCCTCCTCCTCCTCCTCCTCACGCCTTCGCGGGGGGAAAGCGGCTTGGATGTCACACCAGCTCCTCTTATCTCCTCCCACCTCCGTTTTCACCCCAAACGATGCCCCCCTCAATAGCGGGAGCCCGGCAACCTCCACCCCGCACCGACCCCGCCGGAGGGGGCGAGCGCACCCGCTTCCCAGGCGGTCCTCGCACGGCAAATAAAATAATTAATAACACCGTTAAAAATGATTTTTTTAAAAAAAAAAATCTCTTACAGGCAGTAAGAATATCAATAAAGCGATGGCAAGGATGGGGATCGCTTCTGCCTTCCCCGTGGGTGCGATGACCTTGCGGGGACTGCTCCTGCTCTTCGCTTTCACACGCTCTTATTTTTGGGGGCTTTTGTTTGGTTTTCCCCTACTGGAAACAAACAAAAAACCAAAAAAAAAACAAACCCAAAACCAAAAACCCACGACCTTTTCGCTCTCTGTGTTCAAACGAACCAGCGCGCCCCAAGACTTCCACTCTCACCAGCGCAGATCACGAAGCGACGGGCTCTCAGCCGCCCGCTCCCCGGTTGTTCGTACCCCGATGGGTGCGGGATCCGCTCTCCCGTCCCGCAACCGCCCCCGGCAAACCCGCCGCGCACGCGAGTTCCCTCCGTCTCGCCCGGGAAGCACCAAGTCCCGCGCGCGGGGCGGCCGAGACCGAGCGCCAACAGCAACTTTACCGGCGAAGGCGATCCCCCGCTGACCGCACCGCCGGCACCCGCCGCGCCTCCACACCCCGCCTCCCCACACACACACACCCGCACCCCCGCCGCCTTCCCGGCTGGAAAAGCCCCGCGTGGGGCAACCCTGAGGCAGCCTCGTCCCTCCTGATCCCGCCACCGGGGCGGGCAGCTCCCCTGCCGGCACCTCTCTGGGTGCCGACCCCGCATCCCCTCCCTCCCCC